TTTAATAAAGACTAAAAAAAACCCAAAGGTCCATCACCAATATTAATAAATTATTATATTCATATAATGAAATACTATTCACCAATGAAAATTAACAAACTACAGCTATACAAAACAACATGATGAATCCCAGAGACATAATCATTCATAAAAGAAAGAAAAATCAAAAAAAAAAAAAAAAAACAACATACAGATGCAACAATTGCAGATACACCACCCAGCTAGGACAATCAGAAGAAAATGAGACTATTGATCCAGAGGACATGGTTCATATACCTTGCTGAGAATATATTTTATGGACAATCTACTTTCTCTATTTTTTCTGAATCTTGCCAAAGAACCTATTTATGAACTTGAATGACAATCAGTGCTGATTAAACGTAAAGAGTGATGATAGAGGGTAAGCCAAGTTTTATTTCAGGGTTGCTAAAGGGGTAATGAAGTTACTCTTAAAGTCAGGAGGTATCAGCCAGGACGTCTGTGGCTTTGACTTAGGCCTGAGTTTAAATACTAGCTTCACCACTTAATAGCATTGTGACTCTGGGCAAATATCTCAGCCTACTGACCTTCTCTTTCTTTACCTGTAAAATACCTAATGTCTCCCTTAAAGGTTATTGTAGGGAATGAACAAATTGCAAAGTGCTTAATAGAGTGACCAACACAGACGAACTGAGCCCTAAGTCCACAAGAGCACTGGGAAGCTTTCCAAACAGAGTAGAACTTCCAAAAGCAGAGATTACTTTGGCATCTGTTCTAGGATGAACTTTATATTTTGCCAAACTCATTAAATCTAGATAAGTACCAGGTAATAAATGAAATTTAAGCAGCTAAGTAATTCACACCCGAAAAGAGCTTAAAAATTATTTTCAATTTTCCTTCTTGTTTATCTAATTTAGAATTTAATTTACACTTACCGTCTAGCCCAGTGGATCCCAACTTTGTCTGCATTTTAGAATCGGCTGGGGAACACTTAGAAAATATAGCTGCCAGAGGTTTTGTGATATTGAATTTGAGCTGAGGCCTAGGCATCAGTTGTTTAATTACACTCCCCTGGTGATTCTAATGAGCAGCCAGGGCCTAGAACCACTAGTAAAGCTAACCTCGCTTGAATTATTTCTAAAAATTAGACTCATATGTATTTACTAGTAGTGATTCAAAACAGATTCACCTATCCTGATTTAAGAAACTTATTTCAGCTTACTAAAGGTTATAGCCATTATTACCAAATCACTCCTTTCTTTAAGAAGTAGAGAAAGCTAAAAAACATGAGTCAGCAGAGTTTGAATGGAAGGAAATTCATAAGATTATAATTCAACACTCTTTTTTAAGATGAAAAAATTAGCATTTTTTCTTGGATAAAAATGAACCATGCCTTATAGCAGATTTCCAGTGCAATTATGTAAGAGGAAAAGGTGTATTTTTTAAAAGCCTTTTCTTTTACACTTATGTTTTTCCATTTTACTTTGAAACTATACAAAACAAAGATAACCATCTGAAAGACAGACCTGAGGCAATTCTGATTATGCGGTTTTCTGGTTCAATGGAAATCTGATACATTCTTCTTGTAAAGAAAGCCACAGTGACTGGAGCACTGGAAGTTGAATCAGTTTGAATAGAACTTTACTGTAACCCCCTCTATTTCACTGAGTGACTCTGAGCAACTCACTTAACTGGTCTAATGTCCCCTCTACACCATGCAATCAACATACAGTACCATGTTCCTAGAAATGGCACCATTTTCATTAGCAACTTACCAGTGTGCTGCCATCTGTCCAACGGAAGTCATGCTCAAACATCTTGTCATTGAGGCCTATCCACTGATAATCATGTCCCACACCTAAAAGGTGGTAACAGATATTTTCGTTACCTTTCCCATATATAAATAAAATGTATCAAAAAAGTCATCTTTGGAGTGAATCATGTATCCTCATGCTCTTTTCTGGCCGGATTTTTGTTTAGCTGTTCATAAAAAATCTTTCATGGTCTAGCTAGCTTTTGTTCTTCTGCCCAACATGCTCTAAACTAAAAAGCTAATTCAGAAACATTGTGAAACATTAAAATATCAGACATAGACAATTATTTTCCTAGCGGTTTACTACAATTAAATTTTTTCCAATCCTACTCATAATAGAAACTTTCCATTTTATTTTATTAGGCTATGCCATTGACAAAAATTCAGTGACCCAGTGAAACATGACAGATCTTACCCTAGCTTCATTTTGAAAGCCATGTGTATCTTCTCAAAGCATTTTAAACAGTGAATAACTAGACCAGACAGTTTTGCAAAATTTCCTCCAAAAATTACTTTCAGCATGAGATGAGTCACTTGCAAGCATACCATGCAAAAAAAAATTAATGAACCTCTATCCAGATTGCAAATTAACAATCAAATTTCTACGAGATAGGAAGAATCATGAGAACATATTTCACTGAGCATCAAACAACACTTCATGAGCAAAAATCTTCTGTGTATTTGCTGCATAAGAGCTAGCTGCCCTCCTCTTTGCTATAATCCAACGAGTTATTAAACAGCTCTGGTAGTAAGTTTCATTAGCATTCAGTCTCCACCTATTCATGAGTTTAATATGAAGCCCACTTTCTATGGTCTAAAATAATTAGAAACTTAGATGAGAACCAATTATGCACAGAAGATAAGAACAGGGTGCTATTAAGGATTCAATTTTAATCACTGGGATAGAAATAACTGAAAACAATTTTCTCTTTAATTTTAGACAACATATGCACACATTCAAAATTGGTTACCATAAGAAAAGTAGATTGAACCATAAAAGGTGGCCATTTTTGTTAAGTTAAAAAATTATCAGATTGCAATTTCATATCATTCAACCTATAGCATGCTATTTCACCTATTATTGCTGGCAGACAAAGAAATGCCTTCCTATGTTATAGTTGAACATTTCCCCAAATGGGGAACTCACATAGGAGAGATGGTTTTAAGTAGTTCACAGATGAGGGATTTAATAAGTTGAATCACAACTGAGAAAGCTAGTTTTTATTTAGTTAGATAGAAAGCTAGGAAGGTGGTGAGAATGACTAAAGCTTAGGAAACCAGTGTATGTTTGGTACATACGATTCACAAACATTTGTTCTTCATGAGATAGAATGCTTGTGAGATGGGCGCCCTGCAGACGGCACTCTCTTTCAGCTGCATCCCATGTGCGTCGGTGGGCGAAGTACTTGTAGCACTGCCCTTGGAATTTGTGCCAACCATAGTCACATGTCTCGGTGTCTAGGAAGAAATAAGGCATACACTTATTAAACTCACTTACGTCATTCAAACTTGGCTCATCAATCCAAGTGTTAACAGAACACTCAAGTGAATGTCAATGCAATGTCCCTGAAGTAAAGGATTCATAAAATTTGGTCATGATGACAAAGAAATTATGATAAAGAGAGCTCAACTGATTCCTACCAAGTGGGTGTTTGTATAGCGGGTGGTCCTCAAATAAGGTCATGTTGCTTCTTTCAACTTTGTTTTGTTATAATGTGGGTGATAGACTGTAGAAACTTAACACCTGTTTATATCAATTAGCCTATAGTTAGATACAGGCCTGAGAAATAAAGACTTTATGTTTCATTGCCCTTGGAATTTGTGCCAACCATAGTCACATGTCTCGGTGTCTAGGAAGAAATAAGGCATACACTTATTAAACTCACTTACGTCATTCAAACTTGGCTCATCAATCCAAGTCTATATATACATATATATACACACATATATATATATATAATCTTTCACAACAAGCACACTGTAACCAGTATCCTGGTAGGATGAAAACATATTTCCAGTATCTAAATTTTACACTGGCAGTATGCTCCAGCTATACTTTCTAGATTGTCAGTTTTTATGTATTGTCGCAGGGAAGCAGCCTTGTTCATAGCACAGCATTCTCAGTGGTAATCTTCTCTCAGACTCATCCACTCACAACTGGTGTTAAACTCTATGCATTTAATAATGGTTAATAGAAATAATTTTGAGTTTCACAAAACAATTCTCACAAATACATTTAACTAGTTACATGTAAAAGGTAACAAAACTGCAAAGTTCATAGAATTTAAAGCACCAAGAAAACTTTCCATATTACCTAGTAACCACCCTTCCCTCCCCTAATTTGACTGATCAATGAAGAAAACAACCCTGCTATGTGAAGTAAATGCTTTTTTATATATTGGACTTGGTGGCCAAAGTGAAATCAACTCTTTCTACCCTTCTCTCTATAATTGTGGGAAAATATGCATTCTGAGGGATTTAATTTTTCCCTGGCTTCAGTGATTTAGACCATAATCATACAACAGATGCAACTTATCTCTGAGAGCAGTCTTTATTTCAGTTTAGTCTATCAGGCCTGTTGTTTAGTTATAGCCAGCTGACTAATTGGTTTAAACAATGTGCACTGGAAGTTTTGAGTTTTATTAAAGTGGAGTTTGGAGACCACTACATCTCACAGGAAGAGACTTGGGACACAGCTAGATGATTTGGTATAAAAGGAGCACTCAGTGCCTCAGGACGAAGCGTATTTTCATTACTTGGATGTAGTAGTATTCCCTTTGGGAAGTACTCATGGAAGAATTCAGAGGTGAGGTACAAGTGGTAGGGAAAAACAGATTTTCATATATGAGCGAGTTAGTTTATTAGAGAGGAGTTGGAAAAAATTTTAGAATGCTCTTACTGCTAAAGTCAATAATGCATAATAGCACCAATTTAATTATAATAGCATAGATTTCCTTAACCTTGGAAATTATCACTTATTTTAAGATACACAGGTTAAAATTCTCAAAGACCCCTAATTTATTGAATAATACATCAGAAAAATTCTTCTGTATACTCTTTCTTATCTTCTGTTAACCTAAATGGTTGTAGTTTGGCTTTCTTTGTCTTTTATTATCAAAATAGATTATCATTAAGTATTTTTCCCCCTTATTCAAAACCCCCAAATGATCATGAAATTTAGATGCATGACCACGATATTGCTACAATGCCTTCCTCAGTTAGCAGGTGCATATATTCCTATCAAAACATGGTTCCAAAAAATAGGGGGAGAGTTTCTGTGAAAACCAAATTGGGACAATTTATTTATCTACACTACATAAACCATAGCTTCTCAGTGATTATAAATATATATGCAAATACCACTTAACAAAGTGACTTTAACGAGAGCCAAAAATCCACACCAATTCACTTAATTTTTATTACTCATAAATTCAGTAAAATGTAAGGAAGGACTATGTGTCAAGCAGCATCCCTTCAGATGCTCTTCTGAATGGGAAATATCAGAAGCAGTCTGTTTGTTTTTCCAATCTTAACTAAAAATAATACAATACACATTTCATTTATTAGAAAGCAACCCTTTTGGATGATATTTTCTTAAAAATCATTTGACATAGAGAAATACTTGTTAAGTTTTAAAACTCCTATAAAGAGAGCATAGGTTGTATTACAAAGTCCCAGATTTTAGCTGGCAGTGTTGAAGGTGGTGGGAGCAGGTATGACAACTCCTATTTGTAACCACAGAAGATGAAACTATCACTCTTAATTTCACTGAAAATCCATTATCTTTATAATATATAGGCAATGGTTTCACCTCTGACATATAGCTGTCATGCCTTAAGAAATGTCAGTATATAAGGACTTCTCACTGAATTTGGCTGGGGGCAATCTGTGCACAGAACTGTGTTTCTACTGTTCTAAGACCCTCTTCTAGGTTTCATATCTGTTACCATTCCACCAAAATGTGGCCCCTATTCCAGTGACTGGGAGTTGAGACATTATTAATGTGGAGAAAGAAAAAGTCAGCTGAAGAAACAACACAGTCATCGCCGAAATTTGGATAGAAAACTGTTTAGACAACAATGCTGCTGCTAATGAAGAAAACATTTGCTCTTAGGCAACCTGAAAAGAGAGAAAAAAATCTTTCAGTGTCCTGGCAATAAATCACAGGAGCACAGCTGCATCTGATAAACAGACTGGGATAGTTTTTCTCAGCAAATAATGTAGAAGAATGTTAAACTTGCTATAAGATAATACAGAATGTACCTGAAAGTTAGGTGGCACCAGAAATAAGAGAGAGAAATCAAAACCTTTTCTTTTTAATATTCCTTTAAAGGGATGGAAAAGGTAACTGGCCTCAAAGTCCTTCCCAAGGATCTGTTACCACTGGATCCATCAGGTACACACACACAAATAAAATGCTTACCTGCGAGTTACTTTATAAATGTGAAGATATTGAGAAAAACCCAGACTTTAAAAGGCAGCTTAGGTTCATTTTTCCCACTCTCTAGTTTACTAGCTGGGTGACCCTGAACACATAACTTTTCCTCTCTGAGTCTCAATTTCTGGCCCATTTAACATGGAAGTATGTGTCAACCAAGGAAAATAATGCACCTGAAAGCATCTGATAAACTATAAAGTAGCCAACAAATAGTATATCTTTTTATTCTCTGCCAAGAATTATGCCGAGTCACCGAGATGAGGGGTTTTATCTGTTTTTTTCAGAGCTCTATCTCCAGCGCCCACAACAGTGCCTAAGAGGGAGTAGGTGCTCAATAAACACCTGTTGAACAAATGATTCTTTGAATTGCTCCTTATACTTGGAACTAAGGGAAGCCAAAATCATTTAAATATATTTTTAATATTTTCTGTCTCATCCTTTTTTTCCTTCAACGAATAGCATCTTTCTTACTGTTTTCCTTTAAGAAGATCTTGGTCAATTTTCATATTAACCTTTTAAAATTTTAAAACAAACAGACTCATACTATGCAATAAAGACAAAAAAAAAAAAAACCTAAAAACTCATCACTCATCTTTTTCGATGGGCAAGTTAATACATGCTCCTTTTAGTTTTGCTTTATTGCGGTGACGTCCAGATTAACGCTGAAAAGCAAAACGCAGGGCCAGCTCAATGTTTCTGAGTGTCTAACACATTTTCATTTTGTCTGGTGGAAAAGAAGTTTGGCAGTAGGCATTTTTGACAAAGCCAAACCACTGTATGATTTTACATAGAGGAAATCGATGTTTCAAAGCCTAGTATGCTGAGCATGCAATCTGTTTCTGATTGCTAGACTAAGAATGTTACCATTAACCACCTAATATCCACTCTCAGGTTGGTCATAAAATGCAAATTACAGAGATCATGAGATTCGAGCCATCATGAACATAAGCCTTTCTTTCATTCAGAAAAAGTAAATGCTTCTTCAGTAGGAAAATTCCCTGTTGAGCAGATTCACAATATTTTTTTTACATAGTGTTTGCCAAGCTAACGCTAATGTATTCTAACAACTATATCAACTCATTCTCCAGAGATAATTGGCTATGAAAAATAAGCCCCTTGAGTCTCAAATGTTTAGGGAGAGAAAATAAAGGCAACTGACATTGAGTTCAATACTCCTTGGTATGAACCAAGGAATATTAAGGTCAATGCCTAATTTGTCCTAGGAAGAAAATGTACAACAATTGTTCCTTTTGTTGGCTAGATGTTCTTAAATTCAGCTCAGTGAGCCTGTCTGTAATTGCATTCCATCAGCAAAACAATGAAGATCAAGTCAACACTGTTTTTCAGATGTTGTGAGCTATGGACACATAAGAAAGTCTAATATATTTATGTAACTTGTGAATTTCCTCTGCAGGAAAGAATAAGCAGTACGGCCAAAACTGCCTTTAAAAAAATCCAATCATTATGACAAAAGGCTATCTAGAAGTAACATTCAAAATGAAGTATCGATAATGTTCATCACACCAATGTTGCAATGGCTCTTACCTTGCTCGCAAAGTGCACCAACATAGCTGGGAAGACAGAGGCACCTGAATGTATTAAAACCATCGACACATGTGGCTCCATTGCGACAGGGGTTAGAGTGACATTCATCAAAATCTGAAATGAAATTATAAAAGTACAAAGAAAAGTATGTTTAAAAAAGTCAAAAGATTCTATTTAATGTAAGTTTGCGAGATAAAATACAAGATAGCCAGTTAAATCTGAATTTCAGATTTAAAAAAATTAGCATCAGTACATCCCATATTATATTTAGGACATTCTTAAAATAAAAATTTATTCTTTTTTTAATCTGAAATTCAAATTTAACTGACCGTCCTGTATTTTTATTTGCCAAGTATCTAGCAACTGTAAGAAAAGTTCAAAGATATTGGAGGAGAGTCATTGCCTCCATTTCTTTTTGATGAGTATATGAGCCCTAAAACAGATAAAGTTTTAGTCTAGTCTTCTCACTCCCAACCCTGGTTCATTCTCTGATTACCTCACAAGTGGAATACTGAAAATATCTAACTGGCCTCCCTATCCCTGTCCCTTCCCTCTCCGATATGTCCTTTATTCTACTGATTGTCATCTTCTTTAGGCAGTCATGATAATTTGACTCATTGGCCACCAAACATCCAGGACAGTTATCCCCAAAGTGTGGTCAGTGGACCAGCAACATAGGTATCACCTGAGAATGTTAGAATGCACTAAATCAGTTTCTGGGGGTGCGGTGGGGGTTGGATAACACCAATCTGTCTTAGCAGGCCCTCCAGGTGATTCTGATGCACACTAGAGTTTCAGAATCACTTAACTAGAGCATAAAGTACAACTATTTAGTACATGGGTTCAGGTCTTCCTCAGGCTTGTCTAAATCCAACCTGCTTTCTAGTATTCTCTCCCAATATGTTTCTTTCTCATAAACTCATAAGTAGGCATACCTGAATACGTGCAATCATCCAGATGCATTCTGCAGTTTGTGGCTTCTGTGTTTTTGTTCGATGTGTCTGAGTCTCCTACCACCACCTATCAGAATCCTTCCCACCTTTTAGATCTGTATTAAATGCAACCTGTCTACACAGACTTCCATGATCTCCTCTGATGAGATTAATGACTTTATTCCCATAGCAGTTTGCAATTCTACTAAAATTTTAATGTTCATATTAAGTAAAAAGAATATTTAAAAAATGAATATACAAAATAAATTACATTTCCAAGAGGTATGATTCTTATCTAAAGAAGTGATCTTAGTAATGATGACATTTTATATAGTAATGATACCAAACACTTTTAAGGTGCTTGCTAAGTGCCAGACACTGTTCTAAGAGCTTCATACGTATTAATACATTACATTATTTTTAATTGATTTTAATGTAAAAGGAGTAAGGGATAGATATATGCCTATATATACATATATATAATTATATATATGTAATTATTTTTTAAATGTTATCTATTGCTATATCTATATCCCTACTAATTAGCACACGGAGCTTACTAATTCTGTTGGCCCTTTTTTTTAAGACAGGTACTCTTTTAATATGTATGTTGGGGTTTTATCCCAATATTTCCGTGGGCCTTCTTAATCATTATGAGGATATCATCATGATATTTCTAAAAGAAGCACCTGGCCAACATTACATTCCATCATTTCTTTCATCAGAGGTGAGGTCTATATTTAGCCAAATAAAAAATGGGTTTTGTTTTTGTTTTTGTTTTTGTTTTTGTTTTTGTTTTTGTTTTTTAAGAAAAGGAAACCTAAATAAGAATGAGAGTAAAAGGAACTGATTTGGTAAAGACAAAATCATATTCATTGGAACCCAAAAGACGGGAGGAAGACGATAATCTCGCACCTCCTTGAGGTGGAGGTGAGTTAGACAGGCTGCTGAAGGCAGCCACAGAAGGACAGTCAGAGGAACAAGTTATCTCAAAACATAAGAGCTAAACTCCCTAGTTTTAAAATATAACTTTCTAAAAAAAAAAAAAAAACTTTGTATTAAAATTGATTATGTATCGATATTCAGATTTGAAGAAATAGATTAAAATTTTTGTTAATATTTACACAAATTTACATTTGTAGAGCCTGTCTACAAAAACCACGAAAAGATATAACTGACTTTAGTAAGGTTCACTGAGTTTTAGGTATATTAACAAAATTCAACAACCATCTCTCCCCATTTCCATTAAATTACTCTATGGTTTTAACATCATCGAACGTTTAATTCGTCTATGCATGGGTTTCTCTGGAATCCTCTGATTTATTTGAGCAATATAAATTCTCCCCAAATATATCTTTTGGAAAAGCAATACGCTCTTTCAGGCAAGGACAACTTACCAAGTTCACACTGGTCGCCACTGTACCCTGGCACACAGGTGCACACATAGGAAACTTCAGTAGAGTAGCAGGTGCCTCCATTAAGGCACGGGTTTGTTTTGCAGCGATCAGGTCCTATCATGTTCAGCAAAGTAAGAAAAGCAATTAGGCTCATCTCTAACCTTCAGTGAAGTTTAGCATAAAATGTCACTTATCGTTACAATACTATAAGCTTTACCATAACAATTTGGAGATACTACAGATAAAAATTAACATTAACTTTACTCTCTAGAGTGTTTCTTGGCATTATAACTAATTGTTACAAATCGCATTTAGTCATTTCTGGGATTCAATCATCATTATTTTTAAACAATATTTTGTACTGTATCTGGCAACTAATATATTCTACTGCAGATTTAGTTGGCATGATAATGGCAATTGATTTTAGTCAAAAATGATTACACATATGTGCACAGTGAATGGAAATGTATTCTTTTAAACGAGGTTAGTTCATGTGAAATGGCTGAATACACAGAACATGCATTCTTTTTAGCAGATTGGCTTGTTACCATCATTTGAATTATTATTGCCTTTTACCACTTAATGCTCAGAAACTGTTTTTCTTCGAAAGTGTGCACTGAAGTCTCTTCTGCTACATTAATATGCTTTTTCCAAAAACACGTTCCAAATGTACTCCTTTAAACTATACTTGAAGAAAAGCAACACATGGATTAAACTCTACTGTATAAAAACAAACCCAAACACAAATCTTCACCTAAAATAACCCCCCCAATTTTTATTACAATTTTTCTCATTAAAACACAAATAAAATCGACACTTCTAGCAGATAAATATATAGGCCAGAGACACAAATTTATGAGGAGAGACAGTTTAAAATATGTTCTTCTAATACTTTTACACTATTTGAAGTACATTTATTATTCTTTAACAATGCTTGGATAATTGTTTTTATATTAACAGCCTATATTCATTATTTGAATATTTTTCTAGAATTCTTTTTTTGAAATGTTCAAAATGCAAAATACAATTTAAAGTTTTACGAACTAATTGAGATAAATAGATTATATGTGGAATACAACCACATTTTCAAGAATTTTAGACCTGAAATCCTAAATTAATTACACATGAAAAGAAAATACCTACTTATGAACTATGAACTTAAGGAATAGTAAGATAAACAAGGAACTGCTATAGAAGATAACTGAGCCTTTTTCACATAGGAGAGTCAAACTCAAACTTTCTGAGTGTTAAGTAAATTCTAGACTACTAGAAAGACTTGATAGATTCACATTCACATGTGTGGGGTTCAACATTATAATTAATTAGGTTAGTTAAGATGCTTACACCTACATCTTCAAAAACTATCCCAATTTTTCTAAGATTCTCTTTTCTAAGACTTCTACAAATATTTAACAATCTCACATTTTAGCCTTCTGCCTTTGAAAGTACTCTGCATAGAAGACGAGGCTACATTCAATGAATCTACACGTGGCCTTCAGTGCAAAATCAACAGGACACAGACGTGAAAGTGCTTGGTAAAATTGTGACACAAATGTGAACTACTGATATTGTCCCCGTTACAAACACTAGACACCATGCTAAGAGTATGGAACAAGGACTTGGCAAGAAAGTGGGTCTTTCTGTGACTTAAAGTAGATTAGCAGGAAAGTTTTACTTTTACTAACTTTATTCTCTACACAGTTTGAATTAATCTCTGAAAGTTGAATCTGCAACAAATAGACCAGGCAATCCAATATGAGCTGCCATGTACTGAATTAACCTAAAGCAATAATCTGTTTTGCGATGAAGACACAAGCTCTAATTCTAGGTAAACATCGTGGACTGGATAAGTGGTATGCGTTTCTCATTCATTGTCAAACCTAACTCTCTGTATATGTATATGGTTATTACCAATGGATTCTATATCATATTTTCACCAACCTGAAGTATATTTCAACTAAATTACAAAAGAATAAATATTGGCCAGATAACTTATCATTTACAGATTAAATATAGAGTGACGACAAAAAATTAGTCAACCTTTGATCAACTTTATTCATAAAATACTTCAAGTCATTTATAAAAGTTGCACTTTACAACTATTTCACTCCATCTGAAGCACAACAAACTGAAGCATTAGTGGCACGAAAGAATGTCGAAACAATCAGAAGAATAATTCTAAATATAGTCATGCTGTAAAACATATTCATTAAAATAAAACATATCTTTAACCAACACAGCCCTTGAAGTATTGATCTTCTTTTCTAGGTAGCAGTTAGGTGATGATGGCTACTTGTGGACCCTACTGACATTATTATTTAAATAATGTTCCTGGAAAGCACCATTACAACAGTTTCCTCAATATTATCAGGCTAGATTAAAAAAAAATAACAAATTCTACAAAGTAAAAATTTCAAAATTTCTGGTTTACATGTCATTAAATATCAACTATCTACTTTTATACTGTATTAATAGGAAACCACAAAGAACAATGAAAAGACCATGGATTTGGGAGTGTGGCTGATCTGGGTTCAAATCCCACTTTTGCCAAGGTGAGTGTGGCTGTGCAACGCTGGCAAATTACAGAACCTTTCTTATAAACGGGGATAGCAGTATATATTGTATAGCCTTTCGTGACGATCAAATAAGATAGTCTATATGAACCAGTATTAAATTCATGCTTTCTGTCTACTCAGTAAAACACACACACACACACACACACACACACACACACACACACACAACAGAAATCCTCTTGTGACAGGCAAAACATGAATAAATAATGAATACCCACTATGGCTAGTCACTGCATTAGAAGCATTATAGCATTGTGTAAACTACCTGGAGTAAGGAAATTACAGAAAAGTATGAACTGATAACTCATATTGCACAAACGATGTAAAATGTTTATTAGAGCTATTTACTACTGTTAAAGTTTAAAGACCTGACAAATTTTGATATTGCCATAATAGAACCCATCATTGGGAGATTTTTAAAAAGTAGATTCTTTTCTCTTTTTAAAACTAAGATGTGTAACTATGAGACATAAGACAAAGCAATACTTTAGTTATGAGTAAAAGGAAAGTGAATTTTTACACCACTAACAAATCCAGTTTTACCATGGTACAATTGTATGTTGTTTCTAAAACCCGGAAAAAATACAAAGAACATCCATAAAGCTCAGAAATAATCTGTACTTACTTTCTTTGCATCTCATTATGGACTTAATACTGTAACCTGGCCTGTTGTTATGCGAACAATATAAAAATCTCCACTGATTTAACATTACAATAAAAATTACTTACATATATGTGTTAAGACCAAGGGACTATTTCCAAGTTTGGAAACAGATTTATTGATGTTGTGACCTTACCTGGTAAATAGACTGCTGTGCCTTCCACTGACTCTTCATTCATGCCAATCAGGAAACCGGTTTCATTAGAAGTTTCCGGAAGGTAAAGTGATGGTGTTTCAAGTACAGTACTTAACTCTGCAGGGCGTACTGTTGCCTGATTATTGGAATCAAGAATTCTCACTGATACTTGCTGTTCTGATGCTGCTACTGTAGAATCTTGCCCTCTGATCAAAGCTGCTTGCGTTTCAGGGTTTATTTCCAGAGAAGAAGGAACAGTGGGCCTCTCAGAAGTCTGTGGGCTGGGCTGAGGCACCACACTTGCCTCAGCCCCATAAGTTGCAGAAGCAGAAGTAGATGGTGGCCACAGTGTAGCGCCCTCTAGCTTAATTTCACCAGCAGCTGTGACAACAGTTCCAGCCTCAGGTGTTCTCATGCTAGGAAATACCTTGATTATTTCTGCAGAAAGTTGAACATTGGTTTTATTTTGAGAATCTTGGAGAATCTCAGTTCCTTCTTCAGCAGTTAGTTCTGTGGGAGAGGCTTCCATTTGTTCTAAAAACTTAGATTTACTTTCATCTTCTGTAGGTTCTAATTCTGTGTCAGGAGGTAGGGTTGGAGGCCCAGTTATATGTAAATACTCTTCACTTGATGGTTTGAAAGTCACTTCAATATCTGCAAGTTTTCCTGGGGATGTTTGAGATGTGCTGGCATCTACACCGGGCAGAGCACTTGGCTGGGGGCCCTCTGTGTGCTCAGAGGCTCCACTGCCTAAGTGGACAGTGAACGTGGATGATGGTGTCTGAGAAGACAACTTTTCAAAAGCCAAAAGTGCTGACGTTATATCAGCGTAATCTGGGGGATTAGATCCTTCCATCATATTAGGTGCCTCTGTTGAACTCTGAGCAACAAGATGGGTAGTACCAATACTTACGTGGGGTGTAGAGTCTATCAGTGCCTCCCCAGCTCCTGAAGAGAATTCTGGCTGAAAAGAAGGACCTACATATTTCTTTTCTTCATACTCTTCCTGTGTCCTTTCCAGATGACCCAATGTTGATATTACTTCACTTTGGTCTGCAATGGCTTGACCATCAGACAAAGTGCTCGACTCCAAGATGTCTTCCAGGGCTTTTGTTTCCACTTTTCGTTCTTCAATGTTTGGATGAACTGTGGCAGACTTACTAGGAATGGGCAGGGATGTTGCTGTGGGAAGCAAAATATCTAATTCTGTTTCTGTGCTTGGGATGGGGATCCCAGTTGTAAAAATCAAGCTCATGTGGTTGACTTGGCTTCCATCTTCAGAAGTCATCAATTCGTTGTGTGCTGCCTGAGTGTAGCTAGCCAGAAGAGTGTCACCGGAGCCCTCAAAGTTTTCCTCAGTTAAGGAAAGATTAACAGTTGCCTCATACTTCTCTTGAACTTGAGTACTTTCTTCATTACTGCCTTGTGGTCCTGATGGTATCTCTGGATCTATGTCCGTCTGCATTCCAAGGATGTCTTCGTAGATGGGTTTAGTGTGATCAATATCTATGATAGTATTTTTATCTGATGTCAGCTCAGGTAGAATTTCAAGGATGGCACTCTCTGTAATTGTCAATATTAAATCCTTGTCCTCTTTGTCCAGATCTATGATAACATTTCCGGTGGCTTTTCTTCTGTCAGGTTTTAAGGTGGCACCCTCGAATCCCGTGAAAGAGTCCTGGAAACTATCCGCAGCACCTTCTGTGGACCTCTTATACGACACTGTATTTGACAGTGTGCTAGTTGGATCAAGGGAGCTTTCATTCTGCTCTGAATGAAGAGGCAGAACCACTGAAACCGTTGGGAATCCAGTGACAGTAACGGCATTAGCACTTGGATCCTCAGGATGTTTTTCCAGGGATCTATCAGAAACAAATGTGGTACCTCCTTGCCCAGTTGCCTGAGTAGTTCCAGAGGTGTGGACTAAATCAGCTATAGCCAGTTCCCCAGATCCTTCTCCAGAATGTTCATAAAACAAGTCAGATAGTTTTGGTGCTGATGTAACAGATCCTTTGGCCATTTCAAAACCATAAGCTCTAGGCAGAAAATCAGTGGAAGAGGTTATTGTTGCTCTAATTTCTGCTGCTGAAGAGTTCTCATTAGAGATTTGTTCAGTCATAGGTGGGGGTCTACTAGTCTGGATTTCTTCTGCCCAACTGTGAGTCTGATTCTGAGGATGTTTATTGTCTGTGGAGAAAGTGAGAGATACCATCGAGGGTCCTTTTGTCCTGGTGTCACTTAAAATTTCTAGTAATGTTGTGCTAGATGCTGTCTCACTATCTTCAGAGATGTTGTCTGTTTTGGAAATGAGTGGTCTAACTTCATTTGCCACATTTCCCATTCCCTCATAGTCTTCAGTTGTATCACTTAAGATGCTGGTTTCTAATCTTTCCACTTGAGAAGTCCGGGGATATAATGTGCTAACGATTTGTTCCATTTCAGTAAAATTCACTGACACTGTAGAAGGCAAAACTTCTTCTCCTGATCCCAGTCCAGAGAATAAAAGATTAGTATCAGACTCTTTAATTATTGGTCCCATAACTTTGGGGAAGGGTTTTACAATTTCTTCCTCTTTGATTGATGAATCTGTAACTATACTTTCAGCTAGTATAGATTCAGTCACTGAGGCAGTAGCTAAGAAAAAATGAGATTTTTTAGTAACTTCAGGGAGAGTAGTGTAAGGTTCCAAACCCTTTGCATCTAGATCTGGAGGAGACGTGTCAACTAAGGAAATGCCTTCCTCCATTTCCTCACCGGTACTGTAAGTTATCTTTGTCGTTAGTGGAGAAAAATCTGTGATTCGGAATCCAGTTTCGGTAAATGTTTGTGAATCAAAAATTGTTTGTTCTGGTGCAACAGAGCTTTGCGGGGAGTCAAAAGACTTTTGATCTTGAAGCTTTACCTCTGATGCTGCTTCAGTTTCAATTTCTTGTCTTACGGGGTTGATTTCTTGCATGGACCATAATTTGGTTGGTTCTGTTGTCTGGGGAAAGTCCACTGAAACTGTGCCATCGACCTTCACTTCCCCCTTTTCTGTTGGAGCTTCAGTACCTTCAGCTTCTGCTCTTGGTAAAATGGTGGATCCTTTATCATCTTCTTTGATAGTACCTTCTTCTCCTAATACTTGGTCAATAAACGGGGACTCTGTACCAAGAACATTTCCCACAGCACTGGGAAACATTTGGTCAACAGAACTTCTGACTGAGACCAATTGCTCACCTGAGCCCTCAGCTGAGGCTGTGAACTCTTCCCAAGGGAAGGCTGAAGTGCTAGCTAAGGTGCCTTCAGGTCCTTCCAAGTCAGCTGTGTAACTGATGTGATCTGAAGCAGGTATTGCAGATGGTAAAATCTGGGTATCTTTAAATGCTGCATCCCCAGAGCCTTCCATTATTACTCTTTCTTCTTCTTTTGTAATGGGATGAGATATTGTTGAGTATTCTTTAAAGTCACCACTGAAATCTTCCTCCAAAGGAAACTCTGGAGAAAAGCCCTTTATTTCTGCCTCATTCTTTGGCTCCCTTAAAACCTCTGATGCCAGATATTCCTTGGATGTTTGGTTTATAATTTCAGTAACCTCTCTGTCCATCACAGTATTCAAAACTAGTCCTGTTGGCTCAAAAGGGAATATAGTTTCCACATGGGGAGACCAAGTGGCAGCTGCTTCCTTTTTGGTTTGAGGTTCAGGCTCTAAATTTAATGGAAATACAGAAAAAGTGGTGGTTTCTGGGTCAGCAGCAGATTCTCCAGAGCCCTGCTCCATAAAGAGAGAGATGGAGGTACCTAAGACAGTGGACAGCCCTTCTTGAACCCCAGGCTGGCTGCTACTGTTGGGCTCAGTGTTCTGTGGCCCCGAATTGTCAAAGACATTTGTTTCTGTAAAGACAAGAGTAGAACTTGTCATTTCCCTTTCCGACTTTGTAGGTGTCATCAAGGACATAAAACTGTTCCTGGTAGCAGATGCTGAATCACTAGACGTAGCTTGATTTGAGTTTTCTAATTCAGGAGGTAAAATTAATTTATCCGATGTCTGTGTAGGCAAATGTAGCTGAAATGTAGAAGCTGTACCTGTGATTCCCTCCTCCTCATATTTCCTTTTCTTTCCCTCAAGAGATGTACTGAAAACCCACTCAGATGTGTCTATTTCCCGTACAAATTTGGTAGGCACTACTTCTGAAGAAGGTTGTTCAGAAACCGAGTAAATGGTGGTTGCGGGAACATCAAAAAGGTTGTCTGTGATCATGATCTTGCTAGTGTCTAAAGTAACCAGTGTATCTGTAGTATTTCTCTGTGATAAATCAGTTACCATGGTGAACATTTTATCTTTATCTTCTTCTGCTTTCCCAGACCCTTCAGGAATTGGAATTGAAGGGCTCCCTGAGAGCTCTACAGTTTGTCTCGAGGCTATTTCCATCCAGCTTTCCGCAGTGGACAATGGGTCAGCAGGCCAGGGATTTCCTGTTAAGGTAATTGATACTTCCTCCGAAACATCTGCTGACCCAGAACTTGGAACTGTACTTGGAGTATAGGTGAAAGAAGTACTTTTTTCTGCCTCTTCACCAAATGTTACTTCTGTAGCCCTTGAAAAGATCATTTCTGGAGATTCTTGGTCAGTGGCAATTTCTCCTGAAGACTCTTCAGAAGACAGAGATTCAGGTTCAGCACGTCCATGCACCAGATTATCAAGTTCAGGACCTTTCTCTGTGACCGATTCTGGTCCCTCTGTGGCTTCTCGCTCATGGAATGAAACTGTGGGGAAAACATCAGACTCCCCACTTGAAAAATGTTCTGGTGTTTCAGGGTAAGTTTCAGGCTTCCATGTAATTTCAAGCGATTCAGTTGTTTCTTTAGATTCATTAGGTTGCACGGCAGTAGATGATCCAGTTTCAGCTATTATAAAATGATGAGTATCACTTTCACTGCTGTCTGAAAAATTCTGAGAAGGTGCAACACTTTCAAATTGGCCACGCCTGGCTTCTGCCGCCTCTGGGTCCTTGGGCACAGTGGTGACTAGATGCTTCCCATTTATGTACTGTACTGATGGGGTGGTCGTTACTTCAGTAGCATTTGCACAGTCTTCATCTTCCTCTTCATCTTCTTCACTGTGGTATAGATCTATCTCAATTAACTCAGGTAAAATTTCAGCAATTATATGGTCCTCTGGATCTGTTTCTTCACTACAAGGTTCATCTTCTTTAGATTCTGAATCTATTGGATGACCAATTACACTCAAATCACTCATTCGACCTGAAAAAAACAAAGAGTTTTCACAATACTTAAATAGAAGATTTGGCAGTGTATGACAGAAGAAATCGATAGCAAGGCTGGTAGATCACACTCACACACACAAGGAAAGATTCAACTCTTTTTACATTAAGTGCAATCACCCTTCTACACATAGTTCTCAGTCTTCAGACTTGCTGTTTTATATTAAGAATAGGAAAATAAATCCAATTTAAGATTATAGAAACAGTTATGAAAACTCTTTAACATGTTTAACAAAACAGACTGTAAAATGAAAAAAGAAATCACATATATACATTGTAATTGAGAAATGTGCGAATTCATCTTTGTATGAGCTGAAAAAGAATTTAAAAATTAAGACCAAATCATACAGAAAAAGTAGTTGATTATTGTCCTTTATGTAAGAGGGTGCTTAGACACTCTCTATTCCATAGAGAAATGAGAAGAGATTTTTTTCCCCAGACTTTTGCCACGATCTATTTACAGAAGACTGCTTTCAGAAAAGTAGAAGAGAGGTTTCTTTGCAGACCTTTCACAATGCAATGACAACCTCTCCCCACTGCAACAGTGAAACAAGACTTAGCTGCATAAGCTGCAGCCGCCTCCCAAAGGGCAGGAAGCCTTGGACAAGGGGCTCTGTACACACATGGATAGCTCACCAAAAGCACCCAGAAGGAAGAGCCCTTCACATTTTTACACTTTTATCCTTCATGAAAGGTAACCTGGATTGGGTCAATAATAGTTCCTTTAAAAAAAAAAAAAAAATACTTCTTCCAAAAGACGTTTAAGAGTCACAACTAACATTTGAATGAACATACTTTAAATAAATAACAGATATCCTCAGTACATTCTCTATATTGTAAATTATTGTAGGGTGCCAACCACTAAACCCCGTTGACTTTTCTGCCTCCAGAAATACACCATCAAAGCTCCTTGTCTGGGCACCAAGAAAGGGGAAATTCTGGGCCCTCACTTTCAACAGAATGCAATTCAGTTTTCCCAAGAAAGAGGGTCCTGCCACTACAGCTGCCCTACTCCCAGTGTCACAGCAATGTAAAAAGGGGCCTGTGGGTGCGCTGACCCATAAAAAAGACAAAGCAAAACATGGAGGATTGCACAGTCTCGCCTTCCAGCCCCTAGGAATACTGTTGCAGAATTAGTGTTCGGCCTAGCCCCAATCCATGTCATATATGCTCAGGCTGAACCAGAGAAGCTTACAGGAGGAATAATTACGACGGAGCCACCCTGCTCCCCATTGGTAGGGAGAGTGTTCCTGTTGCCAGAAGGCGCTCCCTTCCATATGTGAAAGGATAAACATGTAGTATTTACTGATAAGTCAGGAAAGAAAAAAACCCTACTGAGAAAGAACCGGTATTGCTTGTATTCTCTATGCATCAATGTAACTATGGAAGTATATGAACTATCCATAAAAACTCCACAAACCTCCTTCTATGTTTTGAACTATGGTTTGTTTTAAAAAAATGAATGACTTATGTAACTAGAAGACATATACTATATTTACATTTATCCCTTTCACTCTAATTTTTTAAAAAAAGGAAACTTTTCGTATGCCATCACGTCTTCACTGTATTATCTTCACTGTAAAAAATAGTACTTGTGTAGGGCTGGGTTACTCTTACCCTAACTATGTGCTCTTCCTTATTAACTTTCACATATTACAGCTCATTTTTTTATATTTCCATCCCATTCTACTCCATACACTTAGCCTTTCTATTAGGCAAAGAAAGGCTCATGGGTAACCAAAGGAATGAAAAAATATTTCTACCATAAGAGAAGTGAGATCAATGCATAATCCTAGTATATTCAAGATATAAAATGAATATAGATGATTTCTGTCACAGATGTTGCAACTACTCCTAATCGCCAAACAAGAAAATGACTAAATGCTTTTCCTTTTTTCAAAAAAAATAATTAAACGAATAAGTATGTTCAATATTAGATTACTGAAGCTGTTACAGTGATCTAATAGTGCCTCATGGTGTATGTTCTAAAAGAAAATAAATAAAATTTTCAGAGAATAACATTTTTAATATGGCTCGTGTTGAAGCCTACATTTTCACTATGAAAAAAGAATGAGGGAATATATATGCATACGCACATATATGCATATGAGAGAATGCATTTTAAATGCCTTTTGCATGAACTAATCTCTTGAAATATCACATCAATAATTCTATATAAATTAAGTAGTCTCACACTGTGAACACCATCTGAATATAGTTAAGTCAGACTCCGTTATTCTATACAACTTCGTAAGATTTAACTGGAGTTTTGAAACTGCGCCTATCTTAATGCTTATACCTTTGTTTTACATTCAACCTTTTCATTAAATGTAAATAAAACTAGAATTCATATTAAGAAATATCACACACAGACACTAAATTCATATAGTACCTTCCATTTAAATACAGAAAAAAAAATTTAAATAAGAAACATGAATCTGTGTCAAGCATAGAAAGCAAAGCCACCATATTTTGTACCTTTTTATAAATAGAAGAGATAAAACAAACCATTCAGCCAAGCTTCTCCAGCCAAACACAAGGATAAATAAGAAAATAACTGATCGATATCATTTATTTATAAACTCCTAGGCTAGGAATAGGGCAAAAACACTCGTTATTGTTATAGATTTGTTTGGGTTTCTAAACAAATTCCTTACTTTTAAAAAATAATATTAAAAAATGGATATAAACATATCCCATGATCTTCCTACTGAGTCATTATGGAAGGTGATTCCATCAAATATGATGTAGGTAGTTTTATAAATA